CAATTAACCCTGCACTGGGAAGCAAAGCTGCTTGAGGGCAGGGAAATGGACCTAAGTCATACCTGGTGTGCATGGCGGATGCTCCATGAATTCCCGCGGCGTGAGAATCAGAAAACCACAAGGCCCTCCATTTCCACTGAGCCCCCCAGGCCAACCCCCAGCCAGCCCTCCCGGCCCTGTCCATCCCGGGCCCTCGCCCACCAGGCTCGGCAAAGCAGAGCAAAAGACAGACCTCCAAGAGGCTCCCCGCCGTCCTTACCTGCAGCGCTGTGGCCCCACGGCTGCCTCGGTCCTTCTTCGGGCCTAGCACGCTGGAGAGCGCCCAGCGAGGACGACCAAGAGGGACAGCGCCGCCGCGACGGTCCCCAACCCCTCCTCGTTGTCACTGTGCCACCAAACTTAGGCAGCCGAGCGCTACGCCCGCGACGCCAGAGGCCAGTACTGCCGCAGTGCCTGCCGGGATTGGAGGTGGATCCCAAGCCGGCTAAATGGATGCTGGGATTGTGGGCGGGGCAAGGATCGAACCTGCAGCTGAGGGCATGGCCCACATCTGCTTCGAGATTGCCACCCCAGCGATGCCCCAGCCCCAAAGGGCATCGCGACGCTGACCTTGCTTTGGAAAGGGGGTGGGTGCACAGTGTAGCCCAGAAATATGCACTAAAGGCAGGTCAGATATATAGCACAAGTTAAAGACCCCTGTCTAACCTACCACCTGTATAACCTACCTAGCTGTGGCCTAAAGGTGGGAGGATGAGTGACTTTGCAGAGCAGGTGACTCAGGACAACTTTGAAAAGAGTGACTTACGTTTAAGATTTTCAAACCTGTGAGTGTAAACTTATCGTTTAAGAGCCTCAGCTATTAGTAAAAGATTATATATGGAAATGTGCATGTGTGTGAAAATGCCTCATTTCTTTTTAAATATCTTACAAAAATTTAATAAGTAAATGTCCTATATTTCACTCACTCAACAACTATTTATTGAGCACTTACTATATGCCAGGCACCGAACTAGGCACAGATACACACACACACACACACACACACACACACACACACACACACAAACATGGGCCCCTTTCTTTATATTTCTTGGTAGGGGCCACAGAAGAGAAACAATACAGAGATTTGTTGGGGTCTGCTGTATCTAAGACTGTGTTTAATTTTAGAAGAACAAGCTTCCCATG